CTTTCCCTATATGAACTCAAAACAATCTCCAGGTTCAAAAGTCAAGTTCACACGCCCCTTGTTGGCTTGCTTTGCATACTGTTCATTTTTCTTCTTAATGTTGGTTTAAACTCTTGCATGTAACTCCCTAACAGAATCTGCCTTTTTCTTGCCATCCAAATTAGCTTGGTCATTAGTAGGCAAAGGTAAAATATCCGAAGGAGAAAATGGATTAAAGCCATACACAACTTCAAAAGTAGAATATGAAGTAGTAGAATGAATAAATATATTATATGCAAACTCAACATGCGACAAACATTTTTTCCATTGTTCCAAATTATTTTGAATGATTACACGTAATAAGGTATTCACAACTTCAGTTTTTCCATCTGTTTCTGGATGTGCAACAGTAGAAAACAAGAGCTTTATTTCAAAATTATTCCTCAAAGTTCTCCAAAAATGACTTAGGAACTTCACATCTCTATCATTTATTATTATTCTAGGCAAACCATGCAAACACACAACTTCTTTAGGGAACAAATCAGCAATATGTGTTGCATCATTGGTTTTAGAACTTGTAATGAAAAGAGCCAAATTGTTGTGAATCCTCCTTCAAGTTTTTTCCTAGATCTTTTGTTTCATGACACTCCTCAAGCTTCTTCAAGGTCTCCAATAGATTTGGACTCACCTTCAAAGGTGAATAACTATCTTGAAATGGTGCCACTCCAAGGAAGAAGATAAACCATTTCAACTCTCACCACACTCTTAGGAAGAGGATAAAAGAATTGGAAGCAAATCAAAGAGAGAATTTAAAGACTTTTGAGAGAGAAAACTCATGGCCAAACTCATATAAATGCATTAAAAGTGAGTTTTACAAGTGAAGGAACCTATATATAATGGTGGAGAAGCTTGTAGAGAAAGCTAGACAAGGTAGAGAAAAGGTAAGAACACTTAGATTTAGAAGAGTTAATCATAGAGTGTCAAGTGTCACCTTGTCTTTTAGGAGACAAGGAGGAGACACTTAGATCTAGAAGAATCAATCATAGAGTGTCAAGTGTCACCTTGTCCCTTTGACAAGCCAAGTGGCAAGTGTGTTGGAGAAGCTACTACTCCCAGCCATGGAGAAGGCTTGGGGGCCAAGGCTTGTTTTGCTTCATTTAATCGAATCCAAAATATTACAATTGGTTTAGTTAGGTTCACTAAATGATGGTGAGGCCTAGCTAGATAAATTCCTTGGATTAAATGGAGAAAAACAAGCCTAATATGTAAAATTTTGCCTAGGCTCATTAAAAGCCCAATTAGTAGCTTAACCTACACATTTACTACTTACTACCCCACTACTAAAACTAAAAATATGAAAATCTATAACCTTAATACAAGGTCAAATGAAGTAAAAGTCTCCAAGTAACATATCCTAAAATCCTAAGGGTATGACCTACAAAGAAAGATAAAGGTGCCTTACAAATACAAATGCAAAATAAGTTTATACATGTATCTACTATATACAAGGTAAAATAACTCAAACTATACAAGTTATGCACAATAGATACTATAACTCAAACTATACAAGCTATGTACAATAAAGACTAAAAAAAATAGTGCAAGTTATATCTTATTTGTGTGTTTAAAATGTTATTGCTTGTGTGCTTTGTGCTTGGTGAGTAACTTAACCTTTTATCTCTATCTAGATGATGATTGGTGATTCAGATAAGTGTAAGAATTGATTTGTAAAGATAAATAGTATGAAAAATTGAGTTATTAAGTTTTCACTTAAAATAATCGATTATCTTAAGTAATAATCGATTAGTTGCTCTTTTAGAAACTTGTGGAGCAATTGTTGTAATAATCAATTATTCAACAAAATAATCAATTATTTCAAAAACTTATTTTTGGAATAATCAATTATTTCTCAAAATAATCGATTAAACTGTTCTTAGTTGATTTCCATATCTACTAAAAACAAAATAATTGATTATCCATGTAAATAATCGATTTAAGTTATAAAACTTATATATATATATATATATATATACATTTTTCACACTTAGAATAGAGAAACTTAAATCTTTGTGATATCTTTTCCAAAAACACTCTCTGAGAAACATTTTTCATTGCAAGAAGAGGTTCTTTAAACTTTGTGGTAACCGCAAGAAAGATTTCAAGAATTGAATTGATCATCATATTCATGGAGTGAAAGGATAACAACTTTGGTTGATTCACCTACTTTGTTTTGTTTTGTACATCAAGTGAATTTGTTCCTTAACTTATATATTGTGTTTTTCTTCAGTAGGTTTCTTATGAAGGGAACATCTTGTAATGGGGTGTTACAAGTAAGTGCTTCTTGGGTTGCAAGAAATGATTTCTTTAATAGTGTAAAATTATATTGCATGTAATATTTTTATTGTAAAAACTTCTGATACTAGAGATTAGTGGAAAATCTCAATCTAGTTGATTAGGGACTGAATATAGGTCACAAGTGAATGTGGTTGGACCAGTATAAATTGACTGTGGATTTTTCTCCTACCTACAGTTGACTTTTACATTGTTGCAATTTTGTTTTCATACTTGTTATATGTTGTGAGGCATAAACATTACATGTAGAATTGAATGAATTTAGACTTGCATTGAATCTGAACTAAGTATCCTATAAACAACTATAAATCAATATAATTCTTTGGAAATATTTATAAAAGTTTTTCAAAACCAAGAAAACTGGACAAGAAATCTTTAAGCTACCATTTCACCCCTCTTCCTGATTAGGCCAGCTTTTCTAACAAGAATGGCATGGAAATGATCAACATGTTCACCAAAGGACTTATTATAAATCAAAATATCATCAAAATAAACAACAAATTTTCTAATGAAAGAATGCAACACATGTGAAGGTATTGGGTGCATTAGTTAAGCCAAATGGCATCACTAATAACTCATATAAACCATATTTTGTTTTGAAAGTTGTTTTCCATTCATCACCTTCTTTCATGAGAATTTGGTTGTATCCATTTTTAAAATCAATTTTGGAGAACACTCAAGAACCATGCAATTCATCAAGCATATCATTTAGTCTAGGAATAAGTGATTTTATTGATGGCCGGACTATTAATGCACCTAGGCCATGTTCTATCTTTCTTTAGAACCAAGATTACAAGAACATGACATGGACTAAGACTTTCCCTTTCAAATCCTTTTTGAAGTAATTGATCTACTTGTTTTTGAATTTCCCTCGCTTTTTCAAGACATGTTCTATAGGTTGGTCTATTTTAAATTAGAGAACCAGGAATGAAATCAATTTGATGTTCAATACCTCTTAAAGGAGGTAATCCATGAGGTACTTCTTCTAAAAAACTATTTATAAATTCCTGTAACACATAAATGAATCATAAGGCAAAGAAGAAATTAAATCGTTAGTGAAATAAACATCCTTATACATGAGTACAAGTAATTTCTCTATTGCTAACAAAGCACAGTAAATCTTGTAGACACCTAATTTCGTCTGGACTAATAAATTGAGAAATAGACTTCTATTTTGTGAAGAAAAGCAGCTCCCAAGTAGGGAAACAAAAGGACATGACATCAGGACGCCTAAAGCCTAACAAAAGCTTATTTAGTAGCCTATAACGGGTTGTTCCCAAGATGAAATGGCCTGTTCCCAAACGGGAACGGGTCATCCTTAAACTAGAACGAGCCATTCCAGACTAATAAATAAGGTCTAAAACCCTAGTTTGGAACGGGTCATTCCAACACAGGCAGCTATGTCTTAAACTCAACTTTGGAACGGGCCGTTCTGGTTTAAGAACGGGCCATTCCAAATATGAAAATTAACGTATAACAAAGGAGTTCAAAACAGGCCATTTTGAATCAAGAACGGGTTATTTTGGCCACTTCTGACGTCTATAAATAACAAACTCAAACACTGTTCTCAAGGCCAGAAAATTCATCCAAAACTCCTTATAGCTCGAAATTTCTATTTCTCTCTCTCTTTTTGTATTTGTTGAGATTTGTGAGGTATTTTGTGTAGTGTGAAAGGTGTTGATGGACTCCTTCCTGATAGAAAAGAATGGCACAATCCAAGAGAGGGGGGTGAATTGGATTCTATGACCCCTTAAAAATTATCAGAGTATGTAGGATCTTTATTTCACTTTTAAACTTTTCTAAGACTGAATTTTCAAATGAAGCTTTTCTAAAGACTTGTTATGAAAATATGAATGCAATATGCTCACTTGATTACAACATAATGAGGTTCAACAATAATGCTCTAATTCAGATTTAAACCAACAATTTTCACATACACATGTTAATCAAGTTTTATCTTCTTTAAAGTTCAACCAAGAAATTACACAATGTAAAAGATAAGGTAGAAGAAGATTGCACAAGTCTTTTATACTGGTTCAGCCACTCCACATGTGACCTACATCCAGTCCTTAATCAACACCTGATTAAGATTTGTTCCACTATCTTAAGCAAGAAGGTTTACAAGCACACACACATGCATATACTTCAACACAAAAGATAACCACTTTCTTGACCCCAAGAAAGCACCCCTTGTAGAACCCACTACAAGAAACCTTACCACTTGAGAAACCCTTCTCAAGATTTTTTTAAAGATTCACAAAGAATAAAGGAACGAATTCACCTGGAATTCTTGAACAAATCTTTATCTTCCCCTTTCAAGAATATGATGATGATTATCTTCTCACAAGCTTTTCACAAACGTTTTCACTCTTGGATTTCACAAAGAAAACTCTCCAAGATGTCACAAAGACTCCACAAAACGTTTTTCACAAATTGATTATCAGTTCTAACTCTTGTCTGAAGTTTCTCAAAGTTCAAACTATTTATAAAAGTTTCAGACGCAGATAATCGATTATTTTAAAGAATAATCGATTATTTTGTTCTTCAGGTTTTCTGGAAACCAACCAAGAACAATATAATCGATTATTTTGCTGGATAATCGATTATTCCAGAAAGTTGTTCCTGGGATAATCGATTATTTTGGCAAATAATCGATTATTGCAGCAAGGCATCCCATTTTGCCTATTGCTGGAATAATCGATTATATTTAACAATAATCGATTATTTTGAGTTAGTACTTAAAACTTCATTTTAAGTCTCAAAATAACTTTTCAATGTTTTAACTCATAATCATATACTCTCTACTTAGTTTAGATATAGATTTGATTATGCACAAAGCATACTAAGCACACACAATATAAAATCTCCTTCAAAACAACTTAATTTCTAAACTCTATTACATTGCTCCATTACATAGCATGTTCTTGACTTTTCTTTGACTTTGTTTTTGTGCTTCCAAGTTGTGAGTTGTTGTTGTACACTTGTGTTGTGATCATCAAAACTTCTTTAGGCTTCAAGCTCTCTTAAGCTGAACACTTCCACCATGAGAGAGACAAAGACGTCCAAGGTGAGGAGGAGCTCCTTGCCACGACCAAGATGATGGCCTTAAGTGATGGACATTCCTTCAAGGATGGAGAAAAGGAGAGTATGGACATGACGGGTGAAATATGGGCGAATAGGGAAAAATTGAAGGAGAATGATGTTTGGAAGGTTCAAGGTTGGCTCACTTCACTAGGCAATGGTGAAGGCCACTCAAATAAATCCTAAACTCACTCAAGGAGGAGAAGGGAGGGTTAGGCCGTGTAGACCTAGGTGACTAAGGAGAGGATATGAGGCAAAAATGCTCACTCAAATTCATATATTCCAAAGTATTTACAAGGATGGTAGCCTAAAGTATTTATAAAAGGGAGGTTGAATTTAGGGTTGCATTTAAGAGTGCATGACCAAAAAATGCAAGTCAAATGCACTTCAAATGAAACCTAAATTAACCCTAGATGCTATTTGGTGGCCAAAGATGGAATCTTTGGGTTTGGTTAAGCTACATCTAGGTGCATGATAAGACCATGCAACCTAGGTGCCCTCCACTTGGGCCTAAACCTTACCAAGTCCAAAAATAATTCCAAGACTACGAAAAAATATGTCTAGGCCTATTTTCTCACCTTAATAAAATACCCTAGTCCAAAAATAAAATCCTATGATCTAAGGCACCCCATAATACAAGGGTAAAATGGGAAATACAAGTAAAAATAAATCCTATGACTAAGACACCCCAAAATGCAAGGGTAAAATAGGAAATACAAGAAAAATAAATCCTATGTCTAAGGTACCCAAAATACAAGGGTAAAATAGGAAATTAAAGATGAGGGTAAAATAGGAAAATTAAATTCAATGCTAACAAGGGTTAGGAGAATGATTAATAGCTATAAGAAGCATGTCTCTAAGGTGTTAGCTCCCCTACCCTCTTCCAATCTCCTAACCATGGACCTAGTGATAGGTCTCACATGAAGCTCCAAGAATGGTCTTCCATCATCCCCTCCTTCTTGAGAAGGATTTGATCTCAAATCTTTAAGCTCATCTATTCCATTGGTCCCTCCAAAAGATGTGAGACCACAATTAGGGAAATAAACTACTAAAACTTACCTATGCAATCCTTAAGTACCTAGTTTATTGAATGAAAGTGTTAGGGGCATTGAGGAAGCCAAAAGGCATCACCAACCAAACACATAAGCAAATATTGAAAAATTTAGTGACCCCATGCAATTCATTCATCAAATCGGCTATCTTAGGGATTGAGTGCCTAGACTTTATTTAATGATGGCTTTTATAAACGGTGCTCATCCTTTATTGCCATCTTTCTTTGGCACCAAAAAAATAAGGATGACACAAGGGTTAAGGTTCTCTTGAACCTAGCCCTTCTTTCTCTCCAAAAGGAGAATTCTTTTTTTTTTTTTGCTTTTCACTTCTTTATCTTTCTTAGATTTCAATTTGAGTTGGTCCTTATTCACTTGAAAAGGTGATAGAGGACACCACACAAATTTCTTACCCAAGTGTTGGAAACTTATTTTATTTGTGAGGCCATCATGGATTATTTTCTTGTAAAATTGCCATGGCCTCCCAAGTAAGACATGACTAGCCTCCAATGGTACTATGTCACACAAAACTTCTTTATATTTTCTAATGGAGATTGGTATGCTTGCTTGTTGGTTAACTACAACACCTCTTTCCTCATTGATCTATTGCATTTTGTAAGGTTTAGGATGAGGTTTTGTAGTTAACGCTAACTTATCAAACAATCTAGTACTACAATAATTTAAACTAGACCCACTATCTACAATGAGAGAACAAGCGTTTTCTAAAACTTTGCATTTTGTGTGAAACAAGTTCTCTCTTTGAGATTGGTCAATTTCACTAGATTGATTGCTAAGGCTCCTTCTAAGCAATAATAAGTCTCCTTCACAAGGTATGATTTCTTCCTCGGAATTTATGGCTTCATCTTCACTACTAGAGGAAGATGAAGTAGCCTCATCAA